GGGGTCTGAATGATGTCAGTGCTGTGACAGCAGCTTAATGCTTTGGTAGTGCTCGGAGGAGCAGAGGTGGGAGCAGCCCTGGCTGCTGGGGGGGATGTGAGGAGCACCAGTATTGCCCCCTCTGGATTTACACCTCACAAACCCTCATCCCTGACCCCCCTGGGTGCCTCAACCAGCCCAAACCTGTGAAGGAACATGGAAAATGCAGGAAAAAGGGTAATTTTTTGGGGGAAAAGGCAGCTAGGGGAGGGGAAGGCGTCATCGAGCGGCTCCTGGGCCCTGCCAGGTGCCAGCACCGCATGGGCGTGGGGTGGGACAGACCAGGGCCATCCTGCCCCAGCACCCTCCCTGGGGACCCTGGCACCGAACCCTGGGGGTCCCCCGCATCCCTGCAGCATAGGAGTGGGCTGGAACCTCCCAGGCTCGTCCTGCTATCTCGAGACCCCCCCAGGCACCCTGAGACCCCCCCCAAGCACCCCAAGACCCCCCCCAGGTGCCCCGAGAGGGCTCTGCCCACCCTGGGAAGCCTCTCTCAGTGCAGCTGCGGGCACCGCAGAGCTGCTGACGGGGCAGAGGCGCCCGGAAAGGCCCCGGGACCGCGGTTCCCGGGGCACAGTGGGTCCGGGACAGGGTTTTGGCTTAGGAACTGCTGGAGGATTTTGGTGGCCAGAGGCCATTTTGTGGCCAGACGCAGCGATTTTGGTTAAAAAAAAAAAAAGTTATCTGCATGCCCTCCCCCTTGGGTTTTTAACCCAAATGCTGATGTTTTCCCAGCTTTTATTTTAAGGGAATGCCCCTGGGAAAGCAAAGTCTAGTGCAGGATGCGGCCCATCGGCATCCCCAGCCCCGCGGGCAGTCTGCGGGTGTCCCTGCCTGAAGCGAAGGGGCCAGGGGTGGGGGTTCCCTGTGATGGGGCCAAGGTGAAGAGGAGGAGGAGGAGTGGGTGTGGAAGGCAGCCCTTCCCGGACCCAGCACCCCCAAACAGGGCTCAGCAACCCCTACCCAGGCTGGGGATGCAGGCGGGTGATTCCCAGGGACCCGGAGGCCCTGGTCAGCTCGTTAATGGCTAACGAGGGCTGGGGAGGTCACGGACCTGACCCTGCACTGGCGCTGAGCTGGGAACTGCCATGCTGGCGGGTGCTGGCACCCACCCGGGGCTGGGCACCCACACCCCGATGTCCCCGGGGCCCCTCTCCCCCCGCCTTCCCGGGCTCGGAGGCGAGAGCAGGGCAGGCTCAGCCCTGCCGCGGGGCCG